ATGTGTATAAGAGACAGGGGTTAGGGTTCGGGGTGGGGGCGCTAAGCTGTCCGACATGGGGACTTGAGCTCGTAAGCCTGAGCTGAGGAAAGGGTTTGAGAGGGGGGTTTCCTCCACCTAATGAGATTTTTAAAGGATAGCAACTTCTGGATCGCCGGAAATGGCACTCACAGACAGTGACAGACATATGTGGGCTCGGTGTAGTCCTATTTTTATATTTTTTACGGTCTGACTGCCCCTCCCCACTGCTGGTGCTGCCATGGCTGCCTCATAAGTATTCTACAGAATGACAGTAATGATGACAGTGACAATGCTACCGAAACATGTAAAGCGTACTATTCTGAAAGAATGTAAAACCTAGACTAACATGTAGAATTATGGTATTAGCATTATGGTATAAATTTTGACTGACACTAGTGAGTGGTCTTTTTTATGCTTCTTTTAAAATTAAATAATTATAACATGGATGAAGATGACAGTTTACACACACACACACACACACACACACACCTGTTGTCATCTCCTCCAGCAGATCCAGAAGCGTTTGCTGCGTCTCGTCCACAAGCTTTGTTCTTTGGACCACCAGTTTCCTCAGGGACAAGTAACCATTCAGCACTGTCCCCAGTAAGAAAAGTTTGAGATGTGTATAAGAGACAGTCTCTAACGTCATGAAGAATTCACCAATGTCATTGTCCTCCTAAGGGCCAAGTAAAAACAATATGAATAATAACAATGACAACAATAAAAGAAAAACAATTAAGATACTGAGTATTTATTATACTTGATGATACAATTACATAAAACAAACATAATTTTTATGAAATTCTTACAGGGAAGATTATGTTGCAGAGTCTCTCAAAAATGAAGACAGGTGTTCGCAGGTCCTGCACTTCATACTTCTTCACTGTCTCAACACAGAGTGCCATGAATGCTCTAGTCTCGGATTCAGTCCCTAAATCAAACAGTCAAAAATGTATTATGGAAATGAGCAGACATATTCTAAAAACATACTGATAAGATTTAGTTAATGTTCAACCAATCAAAATTTGTTATTATGATAAGTGGTAGTGGTATAAGTTTGCTGAGAAGATTCAGTCCATGATTAACCAACCAAACTTTATTATCATTATGATGGCCGGAAATGGTACTCTCAGACTGTGACAGACATATGTTGGCTCGGTGTGGGCCTATTTTTATATGTTTTATGGTCTGACTGCCTGACGAGGGGGGGGGGCTTAAGCCCCACCTGCCACCCTCCCCACCGCTGGTGCCGCCACTGCTTCCTCAAAAGTAATCTACAGAATAACAGTAATGATGACAGTAGCAATGCTACCGAAACATGTAAAGCTTACTATTCTGAAAGAATGTAAAACCTAGACTAACATGTAGAATTATGGTATTAGAATTATGGTATAAACTTTGACTGACATTAGTGAGTGGTCTTTCTTATGCTTCTTTTAAAATTAAATAATGATAACATGGATGAAGATGTCAGTTTACACACACACACCTGTTGTCATCTCCTCCAGCAGATCCAGAAGCGTTTGCTGCGTCTCGTCCACAAGCTTTGTTCTTTGGACCACCAATTTCCTCAGGGACAAGTAACCATTCAGCACTGTCCCCAGTAACTTGCCTTTGTAGTGTTGCTTGATGGTATCAACCTCGATGAATGATGACAGTAGTTCTGAAAAGTTAAGGATGAAAGTCACCATTAAAATTGATTTAAATGGCATATTTTGACATTGAAAAGAAGTTATGTTGTTTCCAGAATAAAACTACATGACTGAATATTGATATTTTCACTAATACAATAAAACAAATTATTAATCATTAAAGTAGTAATCTACAGAGTTAAAATCAACTTAGTCCACATTTTTCTTTTCATGAATCTTTAAAGGTAAACACCTTTAGCAATAGATCCTGCGATTGTTTTATGCAGCAACTATTTGCTAATATCTGATGCTGTGACCACATAGAATTGTCACTTTGGTATATGTACCAATTAATCAAATTAATCAGCAAGTTTCATACAATGCCCAAAATTTGTTTACAGGCTAACACATAGCAAATAAATAAAAGAGTTAAGAACTTACCGGTGAGCATTTTCAAAGCATAACCCTGGGAAAGATCTGAGCTGAGGGTGGTGTCTTCTAAGGCAACAAGCTGCTCAATCTCATTTGTAATGAGACTTCCGATGTGGGGCAGCACCCCTTTGGCGGCCAGATACCGCTTCCAGTGTGGTTCCTTGATTAATCGTTGGTAGAGAGCCAGGAACTCTGCAGCACTCTCACCACTTCGACCGACCTCATCAAGATAGCTGGTGAGGAGGTCCAACATCTTCTGGCACCTGCTTGATACCTATTTAACAAAAAGTTCAATAAATTGAATAACACTAGTTGTCAGCAGAATTGTCCATTATTTTTATTGTAAGTATTTAATGTTAGCAAACCTGACAAAGAGATTCCACAATGTTGCATGCTGCCTGCCTGGCGGATCGTGAGGAAGGCGAAAACAGCACCCGGCGAAGCCAGGTACTGCTTCCTAGGTGCAGCATCTCAGGACTCTTCTTCACACCAGCCTTCCAGATCTTTGTGTACTTCTCCATCAGGTATTTACCTCTGATTGCTCTTGCAGACTTTTCTGAGGCATCGGCTGTGAAAATTGATAATTTTGCATTGCATTATTGTTGTTTTCTATGTAAAGTAAGTAAACTCTTGCAAAGCCACTAGTTCCCATAAGGCTGGAGCTTACCCCCAGATTCAAATTGTTGTATTCTATTATCTCTTAACTTGGGTTCCACTCTATGCCAAGTCTCATCATGATGAGGCTAACAGAATTTATTAGCAATCAAAATATAGGTTTATAAATAAGGTTTGAGGAGTTGAGTGTAGCTTAAACACGTCTTGTCCTATTATAAGATTTAGAAAGCTTAGCATTCAATGTTAAGTACTATTATAAAACAAGCAATGTTTGCATTGGAATTATTTTTGCCAAGCCGAAGGAAAAATTTGCCACTGTTTACACTGCATCAAATACAAATAGGATTTTCCTGAGCCTTTTACTAAACACAGTGGCGTAGCGGCTATGAGCTCTTACTGGCTAAAGCCAGGGGCCCCAGGGCCTCAAGCCAATTCAATTATTTTTTTTTAACAAAATTTTTTACAAATGAATAAACAAGGCCCTTTTCCAAGCCAAAGTGGTATTTATTGTAATATGTTTATTAGTGATATCTTAGTCAAAATTAAGTATGCTTTTTTTGGGTCAAGTCATGATACATAAACTTGGAATTCAAATGTGTAAAAAAGGCATTAAAATATGTCATAGAATGCTAAAAAACGCTGGGGGCCTTTCGCTTCCCCTGGCCACTGGGGCCCTAAAGAGTCCCTGCCCAGGGGCCTCTGGCCACTTTGTTACGCCACTGACTAAACAACAGATAGTAGGATAGAAAGATTGAATGCAAACGATGGTTTAGTTAGGCTAGAAAAACTCAAAGCTAAGTCTTTTTTTTAATTATTACAATACTGATGTAGGGATTGCATTTGTACAAAGCTACAGTCCTCAAATATATTCATAAATTATTATCAACAAATAGATTTGATAGTTTCATACCATTTATTTTCGCTGGTACTCTGGTTCTCCATATGGCATAGTTGATAGGGGACGACATGCTCAGCCACTGGGTGGTATTCACATACACATCACTGCCACTGGGCTTCATGCTACTCAGCTGCTCCACTGTTTTATCCTGTGAAAAAAATCATTAAAAAAATTTCAAACATATTTCTGGAAACATACATAATAACAAACCTTTTAATATGAATTAGAAATGATAAAATTACTGTTCTAGTTTGATAGGATATGTTTTTTTATTTAGCAAAGGATTCAAAAATAATGTAGCTACGATTGCCATCCATTGAGCCTGAAATAAGAACAATAATTTTGTTTTTTGGCAAATTATAGTGTTGTTTCTAGACTACAGCTTCCATCTGGTAAACTTTGACCTAAGATGCGACAGACTTTTCATTTTTACAACTTAATACTCCCCTATGTTCCCATCTTGGTCTTGCAGCCAACAAGGCACTGCCTAGTCCACAATGACGGAGACTGTAAGATGGACCAGTACACTACTCGTCTCGAAGGATGTGCTGGATTCTTTATAGTGCACATGAGCCAAATCATGTGTACACTGGGACTAGGTTTAGAGTCCTTATTTTATTTTATTTTTATTTTATATTATTTCAATTACATCCAACAGCGGAATTGCCCATTACAGGATGTCTTAAACATACAATATATAAAAATATAGTAAAATACCAACAATAACAATCAAAGGTAGTCCTTATCTGAGAAGACTTTTTACACTGCTAGAAACAGTGCCGGTGTTATGGCTATAGGTTGCAGCACCAACGCCTCAACCGCTTGCCAATTTGTCTTCTATAATATGAAACTGTTATGTAGCTTGAAATAGACACATATAGTCATATTTATTTGTTATAGGCATACCAAGAACACATACCTTGTTAGCTTTACAAGATGGAGGAGGAGGTTTCACCAGATGCTGCAGGATTTTGAG